ATATATATATATATGTATATATATATACATATATTATTACAACATACATACATATATATATATATATATATATATATATATATATATATTATATATATATATATATATATATGTTGCGTACATACATACATATATTTATCTATATAAAGATATTTATACGTTTATATATATATATATATTATATATATATATATATATACATATAAATAAATATAAATATATGTCTATCTACACACACACACACCACACGCGCGCGCAAATACACAAACAATACACACACAAAACACACTTATATATGTATATATATATATAATATATATTATATATATTATATATATATATATATTATATATATATATATATATATATTATGTATATATATATACATATATATTATATATATATATATATATATATATATATATTTATATGTGTGTGTGTGTGTGTGTGTGTGTGTGTGTGTGTGTGTGTGTGTGTGTGTGTGTTGTGTGTGTGGTGTGTGTTTGAGTGTGTGTGGTGTGTGTGGGTGTACTGTTTAATATCAGTATAAAGAAAAGGTCATAATTACCTTTCTCAACAGCTTTGGTAAAACCTGCGTTAGCTCCTGTCTGAGGTTTGTGTTGAGCCAGCCATACAGCACGGGGGTGATGCAGGCTGAACTCATGGCGACGGCGTGACAGGAGCCAAAAACCATGTAGAAATACTCAGGTTCACTGAAACCTGGATAGTTGAAGTCAGCGAGCAGGTTGACGACATGCCACGGTAACCAGCAAATGGCGAAGGTGACAGCGATGGATGTTAGTAGGACAGTCGTCCTTCTGTTGCGCTCAATTTCGCGCTGGGCTCGGCGGGCATCCCGCTGCGACATCTGATGGGAGCTCAGGTATTTTTGGATGCGTCCATGTACGAAGCTCAGCACCACAATGGGGATGATGTATTGCATGATGATGAGGGTCATGTTCCATGTATACTTGACTACCGGTGACGACCATGATTCCACGCACCTCTCGATCAGAATGTAGTCTTTGATCTCCACGCGGTCTACAAAGTAGTAAGCGAAAAGTGGGAGAGGAAATAGCAAGGACACCACCCAGATCGCTGCCACTGACCACGGAACATATGCTCGCGCATCCCTGTTTCGCTGCACACACACAATAGTCAGATAGCGTTGCTGCAATGGCAACAATCGTTGCCGTCGATACTAGTATATTTGTGCATTGCAAAACAGGCACCAACTTGCAGATGAAGTTGCCAAGGCTCCACTTTTTATGCAACAGGTTCACTAACGTGAAGGGCATACACACTAGACACATACTGACGTCGGACACAGTGAGGTTGACGATGTAAACGTTCCTTGCTGTCCGGAGCTCTGGACGGTGGCCAATAACGAAGGCCACAATGAGATTGCCGAGGATCCCGACGGTGATGAGAAGTGTGTACACGATGATGAGGGACACCTTAGCAGCTGTACCGAGGTAACTCTTCTGGTTGGTCTCCTGCAAGATGCTCATGATCACAGACCATGAGAGTGTCTGGTTAGCGCCAGTAGGAAGCACAGAGCTCTTCAGGAAAGACTCCAGCTGGTCATTCATCTCGTCGTCCAAGCTGGTCCCCGGGTCCACACGCCCTCCCAACATCTTGAATTCGTTGGACTGAAACGGACACAGACTTCCTGAACAGGGTCCAGGCTCAGGAGTGAGGGATATGTTTTCCAT